CCCTTATCCGTAGGCGCGGTTCGATAGATTATTACACTCTGCAGAGGTAGCGCACTTTACCCACACCACGGAACCCATGGCCTCGCACTCCCATTTGGGTGGACCAATGGCATTCCGACAGAATTCTCCCATTGCCATGACACTCTTTCGGCCATTCTGACCAACTCCCCACTGGGCTTAGTCCTGGGTGACCGAGCCTACCAAAGGCAAAACAACCACCGTCGTGGCAAATAGACAGTCCCAAACGGGGACAAGGTACCATAACAACAACAGGTCCACAAGGTTATGTCTGCTTACCGGGCTAGGGTAACACACGCCCATAACCTTCCCTCGTTGGAGGCACCGACAAAAAGGCATGACAATAGGATGACTAACGGCCTTCCCATACCAAGGCAAATGTGGTTGCACTTGTTAGCCTGATTTAGTGGCACCATGACCCGACCAACTTTATGTTCAAGTTCAATTATCATCAGGTTTAACTTGAAATAAAATGCTCGAGTCACTATATGCCACGCTTATGCAACCATATAGCATACATCACATATCACTTAGGAACAACAGGTCAACCTCATTCAAAGTTCTACTTGCACAAACTCATCTTTCAACATTTCTGGTCCTTACTTACTGGGCATCTAGATTAATCACTTTTTAGTTCGCATTTCTCATACGAATCTCATCATGCATATAAGGAAAATAACACCGATGCTCATATTACCATAGTCATGACAAACTCACTTAGTTCAACTACTCAAGCTATACCTCACTAGTTCAAGCATTCATTTCTGTTAACCAAGCATTTTGATCATGATAAACTAAATAACACAAGCATTATTTATTTTAATACTATATGCAAGAATAACATATAAATTCAAGTAGAAAATCATGGATATTGCAAAGAAACCATGACAATGTTGTTGTGGCTTGCCTTAGTGCAGAGGAGCTTCACACTCCTCCTGAATGCCTTCATGACAACCTTCACCTTCTGAAAATAAATCAAATGACAAAAAGAAAATATCAAGAACACTTCTGAAAATTACCAGAAATTCTTGGCAGCAAAGAAAAATCCCATCTTGGGTGTGCTGCTAGGATTTTCCAGTAAAAACAGGATGCAAAAAGAATCAACTCATTTGGACTTGTAGAATAAGAGTTACAGCTAGTCAAAGTTCTGGTCAAATTTGAACTAAATTTGAATTAAAAGAAAAACCAAAGGGGGTGACGTCGAAGGCGTAAACCGCCTGGGCGCCACCACTCATACCGCTTTGGCCGGGGCCTGAGTGTCTGACAGCGGGCCCCAGTGGTCAGGTCGGAGGGGGGGGGAAGAGAAGCAGAGGCGGGCCGCGCGGCGACGACGCTTTCTCTGGCGAGGAGTGCCCGGCGACGAGATCTAAGAGGATAGGGTTGTAGAGGAGATTGAGGCGCACCTGCCCGTACCCATAGCGTGGCTAGGGGTGGCCGGACGGGGTTGGAATGGAGCTCTCCAGCGGCGGCGGCAGTCGGAGCTCGTCGGAGATGGTGGTTCCGATGAAGCGGGTCCAGTCCAGCAGCTCCAACGGCACCAGCACACACCAGTGGACCACCATGAACACGCCGGAGTGGTCAGTGGAGCTCGAGCGGCTCTGGAGAGGGAGGGGGCAGAGGATGGGGATCGCCGGCGAGCTCGGGGCGGGGACGGCGGCCAGAGGCCTGCCCGGCCGGGCTGTGCCTTCCTATGGTTGTGTGGAGGTGTGCTGAGTGTGTGTGCAAAGAGAAACGAGCTCGGGGGAGCTCTATTTATAGGCGAGGCCGAGGCGGGGATCGAGAGCTCGCCGGAGCTCTCTGGAGTGTCGCCCGGCGATGAATGGCGTGAGTGAGAGGGGGAGAAGATGCCGGAGATTACACGGGGGCTGTAGACGAGCTGCGACAAGCACAGGAGCGCGTTACGCTACGAGCACAGGGGCACGGGCGCACTGTTGCCTTGGCCGCGCCGTGCCCATGCTCACTGCGGCGAGCTCCGGCGTCGGCAAGCGCCAGGGTGGAGTTATGGAGGTGCAAATGAGGATGTGGGCGCGGTTTGGCAAGGTGCGGTGGCCGGGGCAGCGAGCACGCACGAAACAGAGACGCTGGCGCACCGCAGAGCGCGTCGGCCGCATGTCAACCCCCTTGGACGCTCATGGTCACAACGTGAACTTTGGCATCAGGCTGAGCTAAGCGCAAACACCATGTCTGGCAGTTAGTCCTTAGTGGTTTTGGTTGTTTTGCATGGTTGGCTGGGTCACAGGTGAACTGTGGGAGTGGCTTTCTTCCTGGCAAGTTTCTGGACAGAAACTTATGAGCTTTACTGAGAAAATTTTAGTGAGAACTAAAGGTTGTGCTTTGGGGTTTAGCAATCTCTTAGGAGGGTAATCAAGCTCAGAAAAATCAGCCCCAAAAGATCAAGCAAAAATATACTTGTTGTGCAAAGTGACCATTCTGTCCAAAATAGAAATGATTTTCTGTAGCCAAAATATTACAAAAAGTTATGCAATTTTTTGCTTAGAAAAGTGCCCTAGGGTTTAAAGAATATTTGTGAATTTATTAAGTATTTTTGGAGCAAGAAATCTAGGGGTTGCTTTGGAGCATACTTCTCTAAAGTGATTTTCAGGGAAGAAAATAAATATTTTTCTTTTATGAAAAATATTCCTTGGTCTTTTGTTGGAGTTTTTCAGAAAACAAAAGGTGAGTTAGAGATGGATGGGTCACTTGGGTGAAAATCAAGGGTAGGCCCAAGTATTCAAGTCCATTTGAATTGATTCAAAACTCCAAATCCAAAGCAAATGCAAATGAAAGTCCGAAGAAAGAGAGAAGGCAAATCTAGGCTGTCACAGACATGTAGCTAAACAATTTTCTTTCCCAAATGATAACGCCCACACGTGTGGCACTCCAATTTGCCCACATGTGTGGCGTATCTGCACTTTACCCACCCGCTTTGATCTCCGTCTATTATGCTTTGCGCGAATCTTGAAGGAATCTATTGAAATTTCAGTGCCACGTAGGTATAGCGTGTTTGTGTGGGCGTTAGAGCGCTCGCCCACACGACTCGCAGTGCGTGGTTGCCAGTTGCGCTATGTGGGCGAACCAGTTCCCGCCCACACAGTCATCATCCCGTCCACGTGCGTGTGGGTGAACTACTCTTCGCCCACATGACGCTCGCACGATGATAGATGACAACTGCAGTTGCGTGTATGTGGCAACTAGGTAAACACACATGGCAACTATAATTCATTGATAGATGGCAACTGCAGTTGTGCGTACGTGGTAACCAGGTAAACACACATGGCAATTATGATTAACCATACATGGCATTGGCAACTATGGTTGGAGCAGACATGGCAACTATATAAATGCACATGGCAACTATTGTTTGACCCATGTGGCAAGTAGTTAATTACACACGACAACTATGATTTGATTACACGCGATAATTATCATAAATTAGACATGACAATTATAGTTAACAAAAATAGAGAGAATTATATGCTTTTACAACTACATTTACTATCCCGGATAACTAAAGTTGCGATCCCCGGGGTAACTAAAGTGTCATCCCGTGAGTAACTAACGTAGCTGCGCCAGGACGTGTGGATATATTTGCTTCGTGCCACGCGCGGGATGAAGATGAATAATACTTGTTGGACGTGTGGCACGAAATAGCTGCGCCCCACATATGTGGGCAATTCTAATATTCGACCACATATAGCCCGTGTGGGCTGCCTCCTGATTATGCCACACAGGATGAGTGGGCGGATTTCGAATATGCCACACGTATGGCAAATATCGACGTTCTTTTTTTTCTAGTGTGGCAGCTGGACACAAAGACACGCTATAATGATATACGGCGATGCGCTTTAAACAGGGAACAAGTGTGGTGGCGCTCGCTAGCCACGTCCCTTAAATAAAGTGGCAACACTAACAAGAAAAAAAAGGTACGCAATTCAAATATTCTAGCTATCACGTTTCCGCGAATCAACCTGTAGTTAAGATGGTTAGCTGAACAGTGGTATCTCCAACCCATCAGGATTCAAATCCTGATGCTCGCATTATTCCTGAACTTATTTCAGGATTCCGGCAATGCTAAAAAAAACTATCACGTTTCCGGCGCGGCGCGTGTTTTCTTTACCGCGTGGTGGGGACGTGGAACTATCATCTATGGCACCGATCGTGATCACTCGTGGTGGCCGTAGGGTCCGCGTCACTGCCACGCGCGTGAACGATAGGAAGAGACGACATACCTAGCATTTGTTCGTTTGACTGCTTCCTGGTGTGCTGATATTGCGGTTTAACAGGTCGGGTCCTGCTTTAGCGATCTTACTCTGATGTGAATGAACGAGACATCTCGTTTCTTTCAGATCGAGACAGAACGCCATGCGAACGAGGGTTATCTATCAAAAATCAATAAAGCTGTTTGAATCCCAAAAAGAAGGCTGAAAACTACTCTTCCAAGTTAATTAACTTAGGTTAGTTTTGGCGCCGTGATGGCTTTTCAAAAATCATTTTCTCTAAAATAAAAAACTAACACCAGTTGAAACAAATCCTCAACGATGTGCCGTTTTAGCTGCCCCTATCTTGTCTTCATGCCTAGACAAATAACCCGGCCGGTCCGTCGGTTTTGGTCTCCATCTGCCTCCGACTGCGACGCGGGTAGGCGGTTCAGGCCTTAGATCCGCTCCAACAAGGACGACCCGAACCCGCAGCGCAAACGAATCAAACGCGCGCACGGCACGCCCACGGTATACTTTGCCGTGTGGAGCCAGCCAGTCACACCCCCAACGCCTATCCTACCTGGCCACCTTCCCGTCAGCGATGCATGGCGATGGCGCCCTATATAAGCGACAGCCAGCATCCAAGGTGCTCCATCGGCCATCGCATATTCGCATTTGCACAGCCCCGTTCGCTGGCATCCAGATCACCCATTTCGTTCCTGCAATCATACAAGTGTTCGTCCGGCCCACAAGTTGGTTGAGATCAAGCCCTGCGCCATCGCCATGTCTTCGACGACGACGGCGGCATCCGACGTCGCCGGCGTCTGGTTCTTCGGCGAGCTCTCCGCCGCCCTGCGTGGGAAGAAGCGGCAGGCCGTACCCACGGTGAGCCACGCCGAGCACCAGCACCAGATGGGAGGGGCCGCTCATGGCAACAAGGCGGCCGCGGCGGCGGGGCCTTCCGTGGTCGACCGGAAGGAGGCCGGCGGCGGCGGGATGTCGGACGCGACGGTGTACCTGCTGCTCGACCGCTTCGCGCCCAGTTAGCCGGTGTTCGCTCGTCTCACCCACCCCTGCTTCCTCGTGTACCTCGACTGTGTATGTAACTACGTTCTTGAGACATTTATGCAGAAACTCTGGTTGGACATGTGATTTCCCCTGTTCTGACTATTACCCGAGCAACCGGGGGATCAGAGCATCTCTAGCCCATACCCGCCAAAAAATAACTTTATTAATTCAAAACTCGAAGAATTCAAGTGCGTATCAAATTTAATGGTTTTAAACTTAGTCATTCAAATTCAAACACAACATACGGTTCAAATGAAACAAGAATACAAATAAAAAATGATCAAAGCACAAGAGACAAGTGATATGAAGTAGCCAGCGGGGCTCAACAATATATCTTGGAGTTGGTTATGAGCTTCTCGGTTCTCGATTCTTCCGCGTGCTTGGATTCTACTAGGGGTGATGTTCTAGCTCTACCATGATAGCAGTGTAGAGGAACCGCAAGTTCTTCGCGTCATCCCTCTCATCCTTAACGATCATGTTGTGCAAGATAACACACATTGGCATGACCTTTCACAGGATCTGAGGCTTCCAATACTCAAAAGTGCCACGGACAATCGCAAAGTGTTTTTGAAGCATGCCAAAAGCTCTATCACCGTACCAAAGTGTTTTTGACGACTCAAGCTGCTGCCGCGCGTACTCATCCGTCTGCGCGGCTATGTGAGGAAGGGCGGATGCTACAACTCCTCTTTTTTTGGAGGAGAGCACCGCCTCCGTCTTAACTCTTAATCGACAGAGCAGTGGACCATGACAGGCCTGGGGACTGTGGGCGGCGGCACCACGATTTGTAGCTCTTCCGAGATCCTCCTACCGGGGAGAACCACCTGTTTGCCATTGTCGCACTTGTCCATCGCGACGATGTGCGGACGAGAGGAGGCAGCGGTGTGCAAAGCAGATGAGGTAGGGTTTGCACATACGGCCGACCTGCTTAAATAGCCGGGGTAAACGGACCAGCGCCGCTTCAATCCGAACACAATGGCCGGAGTGGGCTTCTCCGTCGTTGCATCTACATTGAAGTGGCTAGTCATCTGGTCACGTCGACCTAACCGTCATCAATGCGGGGACGAGGATCCTCTGTCGTACGGCAGGCACTACAGGAATCAGCTACTTTGCCGTCTGCCACGGCGGACGGCAAAGGCATGAACAGCGGACGGCAAAGGCCTTTGCCGTCAGCCGCGGACGGCAAAGGCTCCGGCAAAGTAGGCTACGGTAAACAACTACTTTGCCGTCTGCTTTCTGGCGGCTGACGGCAAAGGCCCTTTGCCGTCCGCGGCGGACGGCAAAGAGAGCGGACGGCAATAATTGCGCTGTCAGTCCGTTAAGTGGCTAACGGCAGGCCTTTGCCGTCCGCCGCTGACGGCAAAATTTCTAGTGTCTTTGCCGTCTGCCACTGATGGCAAAGTCTTTGCCGTCTGCCACTGTAGGCAAACTGACCAAATGGGTCAGCTCCCAGAAAGCACAGCTAGATGCCACGTGTCTTCTTTGCCGTCCGCGGCAGACGGCAAAGAGCCCGTTGCCGCCGGTGGCAGACGGCAAAGAGCCTGCATATTGGCTCTTTTATCTGTTTTTTATTAAATCCAACAATTTTCATCACAAATATATATGACATATATAGATATATTTCAAAAGACCATTACAGAGCAAACATATAAGATATCCAACACATAACTTCATCATCCAACCATGTATATTACATGCATAGTTCCATCATACATAACAAGTTCAACATAGAGGCATCCAACCATATATATTACAACAGTTTCATCCAACGATACATGCATAGTTCAACGATACAAAATAAATAGAGAAAGGGATAAGGAGCACTCCATCTATGCAAGCTTTCGTCAAGTGAATGAAATCTGCAAAATGAAAAATAAGAAAGTTAGAACAAGAAGAGTAGAACAAGAAGAAGAGTAGAACAAGAAGAAGACTAGAACAAGAAGAGTAGAACAAGAAGAAGACTAGAACAAGAAGAGTATATCATTTATGAGCTAACTTACGTGAAATGGATCATATATGAGCTAACTAAGTTGAAATGGGTCGTTTATGAGCTAGCTAAGGTGAAATGGATCATTTATGAGCTAACTTAGTTGAAATGGGTCGTTTATGAGCTAACTAAGGTCAAATGGATCGTTTTTGAGGTAACTAAGGTGAAATGGATCGTTTTAGCTAACTTAGGTGAAATGGATCATTTATGAGCTAACTTAGTTGAAATGGATCGTTTTTGAGCTAACTTAGGTGAAATGGATCATTTATGAGCTAATTTAGTTGAAATGGATCTTTTTGAGCTAACTTAGGTGAAATGGATCATTTAAGAGCTAATTTAGGTGAAATTGATCATTTTTTAGCTAACTTGGTGAAATGGATCGTTTATGAGCTAAATTAGTTGAAACGGATCGTTTATGAGATAACCTAGGTAAGATGGGTCATTTTGGAGTTAACCTAGGTGAAATGGGTCATTTTAAAGCTAACGTGGGTAAAATGGATCATTTAGGAGCTAATCTAGGTAAAATGGGTCATTTTTGAGCTAATTTGGATGAACTGGATCATTTATAAGCTAACCTAGGTAAAATGAGTCATTTTAGAGCTAACTTAGGTAAAATGGATCGTCTATGAGCTAACTAAGCTAATTATGCAATTTTTGACATAAGTAAGCTAAGTACAGATCGTTTTAGAGCTAACTTAGGTAAAATGGATGGTTTTGGAGGTCAGTAAGCTTATTAAGTCATTTTGGAGGAGAAGAAGCTAAGTCTAGGTCATTATGGTAAGCATTGGAGGAAATAGAGCTAAGTCTAGGTCTTTATGCATGTGTTAAGCAAAACACTAGATAAACTTACCAAGATCCAGGAGGTGTAGGAGCGGGGTGGCTCGTGTCGGTAGCTGGAGAAGGATCGTGCGATGCTTGTCTGGAGTTACGCTGCACCAAAGATCATTTCCAATGTCTTGTTAGCATGATGACACTCAAATGTTAAGACTAGCAAGTAATGTCCATTCAAATAAAACTCACCGTGGTCCCAGGAGCAATCACTGGCATCGGCGGAGCGGTCTGACCTGTCTTCTCGCACACAGACTGCACATTTGGTTTTGACGACTCAGTCATACTAGTTAGTAATGAGACAAACACTACATGAATGTTTTGGCTAATCTGCAGAAGAAACTTACCACAAGGAGCTCGTACATGGCCCTTGCCTGCATGTCATTCCGTGCCCTCTCCTCCTCCATCATCTTTGTCGTCCTCTCCTCCAACTCCCGCTGCCTCTCCGCCGCCTCCGCCAGAAGTTTCTCCATTCTATCTCTCTCACTCTGTATAGCAGCCTGCAACACCACTCACATGACCATTTGTAATCATTGATGGAAGCGCACACAATGTAATGGAGAAAGATAACTGAGTACGTATCACTAACCTTGATGGCGAGTTGCACTGGCCGTTCACAAGGCCTTATCTCAGGAGCGGAGCTCGACTGGCGCGCCTTGATCTCCGGGAGAGTGCTAGGACAATGGATAAGTCCATCTCCAATGGCTATGGAGCCATGGGACCTCCCGCCACCAGATATCATCAACAGCTCTGGATCAATGGGACCCTGGCTCGGGTTAAAGTCCTCCCCTTTCCTTGCCTTCCCCTCATCTCTATATCTCACGAGCTTGTTGTGGGAGGAGATGTTGGTGAAGTTGTTTGCATCATCGAGGTCAGACTGAGAGAAAGCCTTGACTTTCTTGAAAGAGGCAGTGTGGGCCATGGCATACAGGTCGTACACCTCTGGCACCTTATCCGCCTTATTGTAGCGTGCCTGAAAAAGAGAAACAATGAAAATTAGTAATTAAAGGGCTCAAGCTAGCATGATGAATGAATTGCATGAATCATGAAGCAAACCACATACCCAATTGTGCCCGAACTGATATAAGTTGGAGCTGCCTTGATGGTGTGGCACACCTTCCATTTGGGCACGTTTGTCCTTGGCCTCGTTGTGGAGGGCTAGCCATTGTTTTGAGCACCACTCATCGACCAACACCTCCCAACAATCCATCCGATCCGCACACCATCTCGGAGGCGCCTAAGTTAGCAAATAGAAACTTGAGCGCTACGACTAAGAATTACTAAATGAAGGAACTTAAGTAGAGAAGGCCTTAAGAATTACCTTCATGTACTGCTCCTTACTCAGGAACTTATCGCGGCACGCCGGCTTGGTCTTCTTGATACCACGCAAGGCGTAGTAGTCTCGAACAGCCTGCACCCGAGCCTCGTGCCGTAAGTTCTGGAGTAGGCGCTTGCAGACGTTCTCGATAACATGTGCCGCGTCCTCCTCGTATCCCTCCTCACACCTGTAGAATGTCTGCAATCAAATGAGACAATATTGATTAGTACAATTAATAACTAGCTAGTTGAAGATTTTTAAATGTGTAAA